TCTGTTTTCTACCACGGCCTTTCTCAGGACAAATCTCTGCCATCCCCTTCTGTTTTCCGCCGGCTTTTCATGCTTGCTCTGCACTGGATGGAGCTTTCCTCGGGAGCTCTTCACTGGATCCCTCATACCCAAGTCCATGTTCAGGTGCCACGTGTCCCGACCTGCGGGACAGTCGAACAGGTTCCCTGGGGGAGGGAGTGAGAGATGGGACAAACACACGCACACACAATACGAAGTGCTGATCAAGTCTTCTTCTTCCTCTTCCATTTATTGAGGAAAAATGACAAGTTACATACAGCTGGTGGGCACTAATTGGTTGCCCGAAATGCAAATGAGATAGAACAGCATGAACCAATCATTGGTGTGGGTGGATCTCTCCCATTGCCTAGAAACCCAACCACTTCCAGGGAGAATGGTTGGTCACATGATTTCTGAGAAACGGTTTGCTCAGTGAGGATGTGAAGCCTAATGATTTCCAAGATGGTGGATAGCTCAAGATGGTGGATAGCTCAAGATGTCTTCTGTATGCAGTGCCCTCCACACGAGACATTTGAAAAGAGAGCAAACTAAACTTAAATCAAAAGGAATAATGTAAATTAAACAGAAATGAATAAAATACAGAATAGAAAAATAAGAGACAAAAATCAATGAAACTAAAAGTTGTTCATTTGAAAAGATAAACAAAGTGGACACATTTTTTTTCAGGTTTTAAAACTTTATTTGCTTATTTAAAAATGGGCATTCCAGTAATTAAAATCATTAAAGTAAAAAAATGGCACTCTGATTAAACTGCATTTTCCAGCCTGCAGGACACCTTGGACCAGCTTGGATTTTACTCTACATTTCCCTGTCATCCCACCCAGTTTCTTCCTTCACCAACATGCAAGTTCTTTTCCTTCACTGCAGGCAGGCGCACCTCCGTTGTCAGTAGTTCTCTGTTCTTTGATGTGAAAGGGGCAGCACAGTCATTTAAACTTGATTCAACTTCTTTGCATCTTACAAAGTTAAACAGCTAAAAGAAGTAAAATAAGACAATGCTTGTGAAATGTATGGTGCATATTTGAGGAGCATGCCTCATTATGATCGCTGGCTTGCTTCTCCTGTTCAATCATTTCTTTGGAAGGCAGCAGATTTCTCTCTTGCGTTTCTGTCTTCTTCAATTTTGACTTATCAAATTTCTCAATCTCAGCCATATTGGATTTGTCAGACATGGTTGTGGAGGAAATGAATCAAGGGTCGCTATAGAGCAATGTCTGGTCTGTGCAGTGGCCACTGCCAAGTCCAAAGTGGACAAAACTTTCCTAGATTAATCAAAGAGAAAAGAAGACACAAATTACTAGAATCTGAACTTCAATAAGGGGTTGGGACCAGCAGATGGTATAATAGTTATACTGCTGGACTCCCATGTAGTCGACTGTGGTTCAAGTCCTGGAACCAGTGACTTAAAATTCACACTGGGAGTGTATGTGCATGCCCAAAATCCTGAGAGGAAAATGGAGGAAAAGAAATTGTGTCATGGCCAAGTCCCCCCTACACACACACACCCCTGGGGGTGCCTTTTCATTTTCTGTCTCTCTGGTGAGTGCACGTGCACTGTAGCAAAAAAAAAGACCTCTCAAAAAGAAAGAAAAGAAAATAGAGACAAATTCATAAAACTGACTCATCAGACATCTGTATATATCCATAACAAGATAGACTAAATTAGTAATTTTAAAAGTACCCACTCAGGTTTGGATGGTTTCAGCATTGATTCTACTTAATATTTAAGGAAGAATTAATATCAGTTATTCACAAGCTCTTCCCAAAATAGTAGAGCATAGAGCATGTCACAACTCACTTTCTGAGTCCAGTATCAAACTGATATAAAAGACAGATAAAGACATCACAAGAAAAGAAAACATGGACCAAAAATCTCTTACAGATTTGGAGGAAAAAATTCCTCAACAAAGTACCAGCAAACTGAATCCAGCAACACATAAAAAGAATCACACACCATGCCCAAGTGCTATCTATCACATAAATGAAAGTTTGGTATAACATCTCAAAATAAATTAGTGTAGTATATTGCGGGAAACTGCACATCAGCAAGTCCGCCGAGGCCATTTTATGAGTCTTACACTATTGCCGTTTTAAGGAAACCTTTAAGTTTCGATTTCTCAGTGAGCAAACTATTACACAATGCCAACCACAATTGGCTCTCCTTCAAAACCACACTATCTGGTACCTCACGATTGGTCCACAAAGCAACCAATCATAACCCACCTTTTACAATCCTTCATTTAACCAATCACCGCCCACCAACATGTATATAAACACAATCTCTGGCCCACAATAAATGGATGACCCTGAAGAGTTGTAACACTGTGTCGTCTCCATGTTGTAACACTGCGTCACCTCCACGTTGCTCATCGAGTCTCTCACTCCTTCTCTCAGGAAACCTGTTTGACTGTCCTGTGGGTCGGGACATTATATTATAGCAACAGAATAAAAGACAAAAACTACATGATCATCTTAATTGGAACAAAGAAAGCACATGACAAATAAACAGTACCATTTCATGATGAAAGCCTTCAATAAACCGAGAGTACAGGTTAACTTCCTCAGTCTCATAAAGATCATCTAGGAAAACCCACAGCTAACATTGCATTAATGATGAAAGCCTGAATGATTCCCCACTAAGATCGAGATAATAAGACAAGTATAGTTTCTTTCACTACTTCTATTCAATGTTCTACTGGAGGTTCCACCCTGACCCAATGGTAAAAGTCATCGTGACTTAAAATCAATAAAACTATTTCTCATCACAAATGACACAATTTTTTTAAGAGAGATTTTGGCTATAGGGTGCATATACTTGACAGAGAGAGGGAGAGAGACAAAGAGATAGAAAACATGAAATCACACCCAGGGAGCATGGCCACACCACAATCCTGTCTCCTCCACACTCTTGGGATCTTGGGGGCATGCACTCACACGAGCTCAGTGTGAGTTTTAAGTCGCTGAGTTCGGGACTCAAACTGTGCTTGATCACATGGGAGTCCAGTGATGGAATCATTACACCATTTGTTGGTCCCAGTAGTAATTTTTTTTTTTTGAGAGGGTTTTTGCTATAGGGTGCGTGTGCTCTCCAGACAGACAGAGACATAGAGACTGAAAGCAAGAAATCACCCCCGAGGGGGGATGGCCATGCCGCAATCCCTTCTCCTCCATTCTCCTCTTGGGATCTTGGGCACGCACGCACACGCGCCGGGCATGAGTTTTAAGCCACCGGGTCTGGGATGCGAACCGCAGTCGACTACGTGGGAGTCCAGCGACAGAGCCATTACGCTAACTGCTGGTTCCCCCAGTTCTAATAATTTTTAATGGATCACTAAAGTTTTCTATATAAAAATCATGTTGGGACCAGATGGTGTAATGGTTACATGGCTGGACTCCCACGAGGTAGACAGCAGTTAGAGTTCCGGATCCTGCGGCTTGTAATTCACCCAAGTGTGTGTGGGGCCCAAGATCCAGAGAGGAGAATGGAGAAGGGATTATGGCATGCCATCCCCCACGGGAGGTGACTTCTCGCTGTCTTTGTCTCTCTGTCTTTCCAGCAAGTGTATGAGCCCTATAGCAAAAATCTCTCTAAAAACAAAAACAAGAACTCATGCCAGGTGCGGGTGCATGCATGTCCAAAATCCCGAGAGAAGAGTGAAGGAATTGTGTTGTGGCCATCCCCTGGGGTAGGTGGGTGATTTCTCTTTCTCTCTCTCTGTCTTTCTGGCACGTGCACGTGCCCTAGAGCAAAAACCTCTCTTTAAAAAAAACAAAAAAACTATTAGAACTAATAAACGAGTTCATCAAGGTCACAATATACATGATCAGTATACTATTGTAGCGCGAGGTGTTACATAAACTGAGATCACCAAGAAATTAAAGTTTTAGGAGCCTTTATTTCTGGCCAGAGACTGCCATCCTGGCCAGGGACTGCCTACTCTGCCACTGGCAGGTAGGGTTTTGGGACAACAGCCCCGACCCAGAGTTTTGCAGAGTATTTGAGCATAAAAACCACAAGCAAATGTTACACTTGGGTGTCCTAAGAGAGGAAGGTCTGCAAAAGTTGCTACATTCTGAGGGAAGGAAAAGCTGCAAGGCATTGTATACCGGTTTTTCAGAAGCTGAACAGCATGTCTTTTGTAAGTTACAACCACATCCTTGTTTTTCCTACTCTACTCTATGGGCTGGGTGAGGCAGGTCTATGGGATGCATTTTAGTTTAACATACACCATTTTTCTTAGTCTATCCTAATCCATGACACTAAAAATCAATTATATTTCTGTATACATGCAAACATAACCATTTTCTAATTCAAGAACATTTTCACCACCTGAAAAAGGAACCCTATACCTATTAATAATCACTGAAAAGTCCCCAATCCTGCCAATCCTAAATAACTCTAATTCACTCAATGTCTGTAGATTTACCTATCCTGGATATTTTCCTTCTTCCTTTTTTTAAGAGACATTTTTACTATAGGGTGCCTGTGCTCTCTGGAAAGAGAAACAGACAGGGAGAAGTCATGCCCCAGCGCGAATGGCCACGCCACCCTCTTCTTTTTTCAGGATTCTGGGCACACATGCACAGCACAGGGTGAGTTTCAAGCCTCCTAATCAGGACTGGCGCCACGGTGGGCCACGTGGGAGTCCAGCGAGGTAACCATTACGCCATCTGGTGGTCCCTATCCTGAACATTTAAAAGAAATAAAATCACACACGAAGTGTGGTGGAGCCACTATGAAGACAAAAATAGGGAGTGAGTCAGCCCTGAACAATGTCAGAGTTCGTGGGTTTCTAGAAGATTCCACAGCGCGGTGAGCTCTTCAGCTGAGATCAGGTTCAGAGAAGAAAGTTATCCAAGACAACCTTCCTCCACTCATCCCCGCACCTCACGCTCTTCGGTTCTAGACTACATTTCCCAGAAATTCTTGCGGCCCTAGTCAACTTCCGGCCAGAACCTGGGGACCTCTCCGGTTTCTCGGGGAACAGATAGCTCGCTCCTTGGTGTCGGCCGCTACCATGGAGGAAGCTCGTCTCCAGCGTGTGGGGCCGGTGTGGTGGGAGTTTCCCTTAGGACCTGGGGGTTCTCCGAGACTCGGGCCGGCGGTTCCGAGTAGGAGCAGGGGTGTCGGCGAGCCCAGGCGAGGCGCTGGCAGGAACGCGGGAGGCCGCCGCCATCTTCCTCGCGCTGCGACCCCGGACTACACTTCCCAGAGGCCCCGGGAAAAAAAGGGCAGCCCCTGGGTTTGCCCGCGGGACCCTCGGCTCCCGGGAAGGTGGAAGTGCGCGGCGAGCGGCCTAGGGTGTGGGGGCTTCGCTCGGCTCCTCAGGTGCGTCTGTGCGGGTCTGAAGGAGCTGACCCGGCAGGACTGGGGTGTGGGACCTTGTGAGTGGGTCCGGCCAAGGGACTGGGCGCGAGGTCTGGGTTTCCCAGTGTGATCGTGACCTTAAGTGACTTCTGCGACGCTGTGTGCGTGTATGTCCCTTTGGTGGGTGTGTCATTGTGACTGTAACCGTGCGTGGGTATGTGCGTATAAGTGTAACTGTATCTTCGTTGTAGGTGTGTGATTGTAACTATATACAACTATGTATGTAGGTTCATGACCCCTTGGTGGGATTATGTGTCTGATCAAATAACTGTGTAACATTGCGTGTGTGTGTGTGTGTGTGTGTGTGTGAAGAATCTAATTCTGAGGCAGTGACCGTGTGTTACTCTGAGGGGATGTGTATGTGTAATTGTGTTTGTGTGAGTGTTAGTAGCAAAAAGTGTATAGGGTGCTTGTTTGTGACCATTTGAGGCTGTGGGAGTGCAAATATGTAACTTTGCAGAGTATTGTGCATGCAGTTGGGAGGTGCATGTAATTGTGCCAGAATGTCAATATATGTATCCTAGTGGCCACTATGTTATTTTGAGTGTGTGATTGTATAACTGTGTAATGCTTAATAGAGGAACTGTAACTGTGTGGCTCTGTGGTAAGTGTGGTGTGGTGACTGTAGCATTGTAGTTTTGTGTCATGTTGTGTTTGAGGGATTTGTAAACGTGGAGGTGTGGCTGTCTGTTCTCAGGGTGAATGTGGGCCTATGACTGTGTGAGTTGTGTATGTAGTACTATTGTTTGGTTGAGATGTACCAGTGAGGGTTATATGGGTTCCCATGGTAGGTTAGTTATTGCAGCATTGGGTGTGAGTGTGGGGTGTCTGTGATTCCCCTTGTTATTCCAGCTCTCTAACTGAAGAGACCCCTGTGGGGTCAGGACAGATTCTGGTTTTGTACAGTTTTGACCCCAGTTTTGACCCCAGAATGCCCAAGACCATGTAGGCTCCTCTAATTTTCAGTCCTTCTTCTCCATGAGTAGTAGATATGGGTCTAGAGTGACATCTGATCTGGTCAGTTGAACCACAAGAAAGGCATCTTATGATTCTTTTCTCCTTCTTCAGCTCCTTTCTTCTCAGAAAAGTGCCCAGAAGAAAGAGGAATGGCTGTTGACCAAGCCAAATACCAGGTGTGCTGAGATTTTCATTCCTATTCTCTTCTGGAATGGTTTTTACTTAATATAGGTTCATCAAATGACCTGGTTTTCACAAACTTCTATTCAAGAAAATGATGAGAAGCCCAGGTTTAGACACACAGATTCCAATATTCTCCTTCTACGTACTGTTCACATGTTAATTTAGAATACAGCTTATTTTCGCCAGTGTGCCTTTTGCTTCTTTTTAAACACACACAAAACATGATTATTTTAAAGAATTTCGAATATACATGTTATAAAGAACAAGAGTGAATTTCTACTACCCAGATACCACCACTGTCAGTATTGTGATCTATTTCTCTTTAGTAACTTTCCTATGCATATATACTATACATTCTTTCCTTTTTTCTTTCTTTGAGAGATTTTTGGTTATAGGGCATATGGGCTCATCAGAGAGACAGAGAGAGACAGAGACAGAAAGCAAGAAATCACCCTCCAGAGAGATTCTCATGCTGCAATCCCTTCTCTATTCTCTTGCGATTTTGGGCAAACATGCACATAAACTTCATGTTAGTTTTAAGCCACCAGATCCAGGACTCGAACCATAATCCACTACATGTGGCCCAGCAATATAACCATTATGCCATCTGCTGGTCTTACTATACATTCTTTTAAGATTGAAATCTTAAAGCATTTACTACTTAGTAGCTTATGTTTTCACTAAGAATCATATATGGCTTTTCTGTACATAATTTGGTTTACTTTAACTCCTGCATATTTTACATACACATACATACACACACACGCAAACATATAATGCTTAACATACAATTAGCTTAAGAAGCAGTAATAATGAGAGGCTCTGTATAACAAATTCTTGCATCATCACTCTAGACATGCATTTTCATTCTTCTTCCGAGTAACCTTACCTCTATTGGTAACCCCATTCTGACTTTGGTGATTATTATTTTCTTGTTGGCTTTTTTTTAATAAAAGAATTTTTAATTTAATTTTATTATTATAATTATTATTACTTTATCATTTGCTTTGGGGCATGTGCACTCACCAGAGAGAGACAGAGAAAATGGACAGAGGAAAAATGAGATAGCAAGCTTCCAGGTCCAGGACTTAAACTGCAGTCAGTCATGTGGGAGTCCAGTGCCTTAACCACCATACCACCTGCTGGCTCTCCTGTTGGCTTTTTTTTTTTTTTTTTTATATGAATTGGCATACTTGTTTATTTCTCAGTTTGTGAAAATGTCCTTGATGTAGCAAACAAATTCAACTCTGATTGCTGTGCAAAGAAACAGAAGGTAATCTGCTTTCAATAAACTTTTATATTTCAACTGCAAACAGAAAACATGCTAAATATGAAAAAAATTACTGACTGAACTACAGGTATTAAATACTGAAAAAAGTTAACAGTTTATTATAATTTATTTTATGCAGCAATCTAGGAAGTTCGCAACCATCAGCAGTTCCAGTGCAATTTTAGGTGCAATTGGGAATTCAGGAATCTTGGTGGAGCTGTTAGTATAGTGAACCTTGTAGGTAAAATACATGCATACTTTTGATAGCACATGTGAAGGAATCTCTCTAAAATTGACTCCTCTTGGCTTTTTAAAAAAATTACTTTTACCACATAACTGCTTATCCCAAAACAATATAGTTTAGTTTTGCCTATCTAACTTTATATAAATGAAATCATGTTGTATGATATTGAGTCTCGCTTTTCTTATATAGTGATACTTAAATTATATTTGTTTAGGGTCATTCTTGTTATAGATAACTAGAGTTGAACATTGTTTCCAATTTTGGGGTCCTATGAAAGACCTGCTCTGTGGGAAAAAAATACATATCTATCTATATATGTGTGTGTGTGTGTGTGTGTTAGTTTGCTATAGGCTTCTTGCGCTTGCCAGAGAATGAAAGGAAGTGCTCCCCAGGTGGTATGGGCATGCTGCATCCCCTTCTCTTCCATTCTCCTTTCAGGATTTTGGGCATGAATGCACATGTGCCTAGTGTGTTTTTCTTTTTCTTTTTTTTTTTAGCTTTTCTTTTGTTTTTCATATTTCTCAGACCAGTCTAGTTGAGAATACTAGACTGTATCATCAACAATACTATATGTTATCATCAACAGGTAATAAACCATTTCTGTGTCCCACAAATGTCATACTTCTCTCTTTTTTCTCCTGCTCTCTTTCTCTATACTCTTTATACAGTGTCTCCTTTTTCATAACTTAGCTTGCTTCACTCAGCAGTAAATCTTACATATTCATCCACTTTCTATCAAACGCCAGGGTCTTATTTTTTATGGCTGAGTAATATTCTATAGTGTATATGTGCCACATTTTTTCAATTCATTCATCTGTTCGTGGACACTAGGTTGGTTTCATGTCTTAGCAATCGTGAATAATGCCACAATAAACACAGATGTCCAAGCACTTTTCCAACTGAGCATTCTCCTGTCCTTTGGGTAGATACCCAGAAGTAAGATTGCTGGGTCAAATGGTATTTCTTTTCAAAGGTCTTTGAGGAACCTCCATGTTTTCCACAGTGGCTAGACCAATTTAAATTCCCCTCGATAGTATAGGAGAGTTCCCCTTTCACCACAGCCTGGCCAACACTTAACACTTTTTGTATTTTTAATCTTTGCCATTTTAATAGAAGGGGTTTAATCTGCATCTCCCTTATGATGAGGGATGTTGAGCATTTCCTCATATGCTTTTTGGCTGTTCATATGTTTTCTTTAGATTTTTGTTCAACTCATTTCCCCATCTTTTAATTGGGTTAATATTTTTTTTCTTGGGTAGGCTGTTTGAGTTCCCTGTGTATTCTAGTTATCAGTCCCTAATGTGTCCATCTTTTAATTGGGTTAATATTTTTTTTCTTGGGTAGGCTGTTTGAGTTCCCTGTGTATTCTAGTTATCAGTCCCTAATGTGTAGCATAGTTTACAAAAATTTTCTCCCATTCTGAGGGTTGTCAATTCATGCTAATTACTGTGCCCTTTGCTGTGCAGATGGGATTTTTTTTTCCATTTTTTGGTGTCATTTTCAATATCTTTTTAAAGATTTTTATAGTTTTCTTTGTAAAGGTCTTTGACTTTCTTAGGTTTATTCCTAGGTATCTTATACATTTTGTGGCTATGGTAAAAGGGATTCCTTTCTTCAGATCTATTTTGTTCAACTTGTTCGTATATAGAAATGCTATAGATTTTTGGATGTTGATTTTGTATCCTGATGCATCACTACATTCATTTATTACTTTGAGACGTTTTCTCATGGAAACCTTTGGATCTTCTAAGTATACCATCATGTCATCTGCAAAGATATTTTCGACTCTTCTTTGCCTGTCTGAATGCCTTTTATGTGATTCTCTTTTCTGATTGCATTGGCTAAGACTTCTAGCACCATATTGAAAAGAAGTGGTGAAAGTAGGAAGCCTTGTCTGGTACCAGTTTTTAGTGTAAAAGCTTTTTAGCTTTTCCCCATCCAGTATAATGTTATCTATAGGTTTTTCGTATATGACTTTTATTGTGTTGAGAAATGAGCCTTCTATACCAATCTTGCTGAGAGTCTTAATTGTGAAGGGATGTTTTCTCTGCATCAGTTGAAATGATCATATGGTTTTTTATCTTTCTTTCTGTTAATATGGGGTATTATATTTATGGTCTTATGTGTGTTGAACCACCCTTGCATTCTTGGAATAAAGCCTCCCTGGTCATAATGAATAATATTTTTTATATGTTGTCGAATACAATTTGCAAATATCTTGTTGAGAAGTCTTGCATCTATATTCATCAGAAATATTGGTCTGTAGTTTTCCTTTTTTTTGTCGTGTCTTTATCTGTTTTGGGAATGAGGATGATGGATGCTTCATAAAATGAATTTGGGAGGTTGCCTTCCTTTTGGATCTTTAGAAATAATTTGACTAGAATGGGGGTTAAATCTTCCTTAAAAGTTTTGTAGAATTTAGAAGTGAAGCCATCAGGACCTGGGCTTTTCTTTGTTAGGAGGTTATTTATTACTGATTCAATTTATTATTGATTCAATCTCATGGGTTGTTATGGGTCTATTCAGGTTTTCTTCATCCTCCTGAGTCAATCTTGGTAGATTCATCCAGAAATTTGTTCATTTCCTCCATGTTCTCTTGTTTGTTGGCATATAGTCACTCATAGTATTCTCTAATGATGTTTTGTATTTCTATCTGTTGTAATGTTGCCTATTTCATTGTATATTTGATTTATCTGGTTTCTTTCTTTCTTCTTTATCAGTCTAGCTAATGGTGTGTTGATCTCTTTAATCTTTTCAAACAACCAGCTTTTGCTTTCATTTATTTACTGTATAGTTTATTTTCAATGTCACTTATTTCTGCTCAAATCTTTATTATTTTTTTTCTCCTGGCATTTTTTTTTTTTTTTTGGTTGTTGTTGTTGTTGTTTTCCAATTCCCTGAGGCATGATGTTAGGTTGTCTATTTGGCTGCTTTTCATCTTTTTCTTATGTGCAATAATTGCTATGAATTTCCCTCTTACAACTGCTTTTGTGGTGTCCCATAGATTATGGAACTCATGTACTCATTATCATTTGTTTTCATAAATTTTTTATTTCAGAGTTAATTTCTTCTGCAGTTAAGAAGTCATTTAGAAGTAGGTTGTTTAGTTCATATGTGTTTGTGTATTTCCTAGCATTTTTCTTGAAATTAATGTAAAGTTTAATTCCATCATGGTCAGAGAAGATGCTGGAGATGCTACAGATTCAAAGGCTTGATTCGTGTCCTATCATGTGGTCAGTCTTTGAAAAGGTTCCATGCAGAGGGTGAGAACAATGTATAGTTTGTGGTCTTAGGGTGGAAAGTTCTATAGATGTTTGTCAAGCTCATTTGATTTACTATTATTTAGATCCTGTATTTCTCTGATTATTTTTTGTCTAGAAAATCTGTCTAAAGGAGATAAAGGAGTGTTGAGATTCCCAACAATTATAGTGTTGCAACCTATCTTTCCTTTTACCTTTAGTAGTTTCCCGTTCATGTAT